CATGCAGGGGATCCCGCACAACAGGACCAGCATGGGCGACCTCTACTTCCGCCTACCTTGGAGCAGATCGCAAGCGTGATCCGCCAGGAGGTGCAACCCATCCGAAACACGATCAACACTCTCCAACGTCGCCTCAATGAGGTGAGCGGGACCATCAACGCCAAGTTCGAGGAGGTGGAGGAGCACATCGAGGACATCGCTATCCACCTCACCAACCTCGAGAATGAGTCCGCCGAGCAGTCCGAGGCCCCATCTACCCCCCGGAGCGATGACACGACTATTTGGAAGCACATCCAGTCGCTCGAGGGCCAAGTGTCTAAGCTGAAGGTGTCCAGCAAAATACAACATGGGAAATCATCTAGTATTTCAGGGGAAGCAAAACGGGATCTTACAGCAGTCATTGGGAAGTTGGTTGGATTTGATTCTCTGTCAGCAGCCCCTTCGTGGGTCAATGACACACTCTCTTCGTTGTCCGCGCCTGCGGCTATTGACGTATACTCCAAAGGCGACTTCCAAGACATCCTCTTCGTGTTATTCGCTAGCGAAACCGACCGATCGAGACTTGGCGGTTGGTATTTTACGGAGTGCGAGTCCCAACCACGGAGGGATAGCAATTTGGGTAGCACCAAATAAGCCTCCGTCTTTCCGTGCGGCTCGAAACATGTGCCTTGGATTGAAATACATTATCAAAAACGACTTGCACAACACGTGGAGGATACAGGTCATAACTGACGAGATCCCCTTTCAAGTTGTTGTGGGAGGGAAAATCGCAGTATCTGTTTCGGTACATGAATCTCAGCTTGTGTTGGAATGGGGCACAGAATGGAAAACATGGGAGGAATTACAAAAGCATTCTAAACTCATCGAACTCATTCGCAAAAACACGACACTCCTGGAGCGAGCTACCGAAGGAATCCAAAGTTCGGCAAAAAACAAATCTAAAGGCCAATAGGAAGTACGGCCAAATTCCGGGGGCTCCGGAACCGGCCAAAAAGGCCGTTATGTACATACGTGTGCCGCAATTGTGGGCACAAATGCCACCACCGCCAACACGAATTTGGGCAAAGATACCGTCGTACAACGGCCCGCGGTCGTCTCACCTTTCGTGCCACTGTCTCTGGAGACATCTTCTGGACTTCTTCAACCACCCCTTCTTCCTCCTGCCGGGCATTCGCACGGACAAAGCAATGGCGGGCGACGTGTTCAAGCTTGTCCTGAGCAGCTGTCCTGGGGTAGACCCCGTTCTGCCTGTACCCTTTGCTGTCCTGGCCGTCTCGGCACGTGGAATGTCGAAGGCCTGCGAGGGGGCTCCAACATCAAGATTGACGAACTGACCGACATCATGAACACGCGCAGCATTGATATATTATGTGTTCAAGAGACACACCTCCATGGTGACGAATATTTTGCGCAGAATGGCTACATGCATGATTTTTCTGTCAAGCGAGTTGGACCTGGAAGTGCGTACACACGCAGGCGTGGGTTTCCTGGTTGCCCCGAGGATGCTGGGAAGCATTGTGGCTTTCAAAGCATGTAGCTCCAAGATCGCTTGAATACGCATCAAAATTAAAGGCGGAATTCTTACGATATTGAGCGTTTATGCCCCTCATAATGGCCACCCGTATGAAATCCACAACTCCTTCTACGCTGACCTCCAAACACATCTACGGAAGACCACGGCTCACAGCACCACCTACATCCTTGGCGACTTCAACGCGAGGCTATTACGAGTACGAGCTGGGGAACATCACATTATTGGTCCGCATGTGTTCGAAAGCCTACGTGCTACGAGCGGGAGTGCTTAAAACGATCAAACTCCAGATGCACTTTCCAATCGGCAATTGTTGATGGAAGCTTGTATCTCGTGCGAGATGGCGGTGGCCAATACGTTCTTCGACCATCCGGCGGACCAAAAAGTAACCTACAGAGAGCTTGGCACCGACCCGATGGACAGCGAAATCACAGGGAAGAAGTTCGCTTAAATCGACCATGCTCTTTGCCACCAGACCGTCCAACATACGATCAAAGATATCAGGACCAGCCGTCGAGATGTACTTACCACACATCATTTCTTTATGTTGTTGGACTCGAATTTGGAATTTCGCGTGAAGGACCCGCCGCAGAAGACATTTATAGACACAGCTAGCCTGAACATTCCAAGCATTCAGAACGACTTCATTGCAGCATTTGTTGGCGCAGTTGGGAGTTCTTTGGAAGACGCAAACGGTTCTTTGGAGCTGGCAGACGGTTGGGTTAAGCATGGTTTCGAAAAAGGCCTCCGAAATACTTCCAAAGCGAGCCGTCGTAGCTAGACAGCCTTGGACAAGCCCAAATACTCTCGATCTCATCGAGCAGCGCAAAGTGGCTCGCTTACACAGTGATTACGCAAGAGAAAAGCAGCTGCACACGCTGATTCGGAAGGCCGGGGCAAAAGACAAGAGAGATTGGTTGAGATTGGTTGGACCTGTTAGTGCGAGATCGGGGATGGGAAGCTGTACGACACCTGAGAAGACCCAGGACGGTACAACATGCGACCATCAAGCGCCCTGATGGGACCCTTACGGACACAGCAGATCGCGCGAACGTCCTGGCAGACTACTTTGAACATGTGCAATGGCAAACCCGCTTCCAGGGTGAGGCTCCGGAGCCGCGTGCGCGCATAGGCGACGTGCTGCCGATCAACACGGGCTCAGCATGAACAAGATCTCTGTTGCTTTACGGAAGCTTCGACAAGGGAAATCTGCTGGACCCGATGGTATCCCTCCAGACTTTTTGAAATGTGTGGAGTCTGATCGGGATGCGCGCGCACTGCTACTTCGCTTATGCCAGAAGTGTTGGGAGCAAAAGTCAGTACCTACATCATGGAGGCGGGCAAATGTCATATTGTTGTTCAAACAGGGAGATACCGCATTGCCCGAAAATTGCAGAGCAATATCTTTATTACAAGTGGGGTATAAAATCTTGGCATCTTCGCTTTCTCAAAGGTTGATTTCTAGAGGTGCTGACTCCCGCATGCGCGGCTCGCAAATCGGATTTCGCCTGGGGCGTGGGACCGCAGATGCCCTCATGCTTGTCCGACGGATGATCGACGCCTCGCTCTCCAATAAAAACGATGGTCTTCTGTTGATCATGTTGGACTGGGCGAAAGCGTTTGACCGACTCAAGCCCGACAGCATGAGCGATGCTTTGCGGCGTTTTGGCATACCAGCAGACATGGTTTCCATAGTTGATGCAAATTACGCTGCCCTGTTTTTCACAATAGTCGACCACACGGGCAAATCCACGGAGAGACGACAAAATGCAGGTATTGCACAAGGGTGCCCTCTATCTCCTTACTTGTTTATCGCAGTCCAGACTGTCATGCTGTTCGACGTCATGGCTTCCATCGATTTCGAGGCGGAGCCCGCCTACGTGGTGACCCGCGACGTGCTGTATGCGAACGACACACTCTTGATTTCACGGAGCAAGCAGAATATGCAAAACATGCTCAACGCCATCGTCGCTGAGGGTCGCAAGTATGGCCTCGAGCTCAACTGGAGCAAAACGTTACAGATGCAAAATTGCACAAACTGTAATGTCGAGCGCCCAGACGGCGGTCCAATTGCAACACCCCGGGAAACGATTTACTAAGGAGGAATGATTACGTGTGATGCAAGAACAAGCTCCGAATTGACGAGAAGATTGGGGGAATCACCGCGCATATTCAAGCAATTGGCGAAGATATGGGGTAATACATCAGTTGGTTGGAAACGCAATTACAAAGTATACGAGAGCTGCGTGTTGGGCAAATTACTTTATTCGCTTGATAATTTTTGGTTATTGAGTGCCGACAGACATAGGCTGGATGCTTTTCATTGCCGGTGTCTACGGAGGATTTTGGGTATACCACATTCCTACATATCTCGCGCTACCAACGCGGACGTTCTGAACCAGGCCCACGCCAAACCTCTATCCCAGCAGTTGCTTGGTAGGCAGATCAACTTGTACGACAAGATAGTGTCAAGTGAGTCCAATTCTTTGGTAAAGCAACTCGTATGTCATCAAGACGGCACCCCGAAGACCTGGGTGGAACGCCGGCGGCGCGGACGACCTAGACAACAATGGGCGCAAGAAGTGCACAAACTGACCCAGCACCCGTGATCGCGTAGAATGGCTGCCAGCCCTGCCCTGCTTCACTGTCGGGCACTTCTTGCCCCCTTCCTCCGTCGCCTTTTGCTCTTGCTCCCTTCCTCTCCTCCTCCGCTTCGCTGCTCGTCTCTGCCTCACAGTCGGGCGCTCCATTTTTCTGCCTCACAGTCGCGTTGCGCTCCGTCTTCTCGTCACGTTTTTTCTAGTTACCCGAAGAGTCTCCAATCGCGCGCTCTTCTGCCCACGCGTCCTTCCGGATGCATGGCTCAGTGGTGGAGGATTAGCGGGATTTTTTCGTGGTTATCATCTACTTGTTGACAATTTTTCAAAATTGTTCTCTCGCTGCAACGTGGGCCTCATTTTCGGATCGGCGCCGTGCTCCCGGTGTTCATAATGGAACTCCCGCCCCAGTGTGGGCATCTTTTCTGGATCCCACAGGTCTCGCAGGCACCATAGGTCCCACAGGTCCCACAAGTTCCACAAGTGTCGCAGGTATCGCATGCTCCACAGGTCCGACAAGTCCAGCAAGTCCCACAGAGCCCGCAGGTATCGCACGTGCCACGGGTCCAACAGGTCTCGCAGGTCCCACAGGTCCCACGAGTGTCGCAGGTCTCACAGGCCCCACAGGCCGCAGAGGTCGCCCAGGTCGCACAGGTCCAACAAGTTTCCATTTTCCGACTGCGCATAACACGATGTGGTCTTTTGTGGAATGCCAGGTCGGCTATGACATGCGTCTGCGGATGAAGACGAATCAGCGCCACGGGCAGGGATGGGAGGGAGGAGCAGGACGTCAGATGTGGCGTGAGCGCACCTAGAATGCCTTCCCCCCTCTCCGTCCTCCGCCCACCCGGTCGACAACTCCCCGGTGCTTCCTGCCAGCCGGCCTCGTACGGTCGGCGCCGTCGAGCCAGGCAGCCTCTCGTACAGGACGCGCTCGCTCCTCGGGGCGGCCCGAACCAGAAGCCACCCGCGAGGGCGCGTCCCAGCCCCGCGAACGAGGCGCCCCGCGGCGACGAGACCCAGGCCCAGACGTGTTCGCGTCGCAGAACATCACAACGGGAAGTTCTGCCGGGCCTCGGAGCCGTCAAAAAAACGGCTCGAGATGAAACGCTGGCCCCGGGGAGAAGGGGTCGGCACTTCTGGGGGCCCCGTGTTGGCAAAAATGAAGACGTCGCATGTCTGGGGATCTCCGACGAGACGATCTCTTCAACCGGCGCTCTCTCTTTGACTTCGGCCCTCGGGGGCCCCTTTCGGGCAGCGGGGCCATCGCACACAGAGAAGGGGTGAAAACCACTTACCGCCGGGGAAGCGGTCGGGGGGACCCCGTGGGGCCGCGGATTCGGCGGATGTCAGGGCCTCCAGCTCCCCGTGGGGACGCTCTCCCGCGGCGTGGGCGCGGAGGGGCGCGCTCCTCGGGCCGCGGGGCCCGGAGACCGACGAGGCCCGCGGCGAGCCGCCCGTCTCCAGGACGGGGTTTTTGGGGGGGGTCTCTGGAACCCGCGTCTGGGCAGCGTCGCGGCGGCGGAAGTCTGGGGGTCTGGGGGCTCCGGGGGGCACAGCTCAGCTGCGGTCCGGCTCTTCGGGGTGCCCCCCCGACAGACCTGCAGGCCACGGCACCCCTGCGGGGCACCTGCTCCCAGGGCAGGCCTGTCTGTGGCCCCCCCCCCCCCCCAGGGTGGAGAAGGAGATGCCGAGCGGAGGAAAGGCACGCGTGAGAGGGGGGAGGGGGAGGGAGGAGAAGTCAGATCCCACCACACAAACGAAAGTAGGATGAGGATAATTAAATCTGGACAAGGATGAATCGGGAATCTCTGAGAGCCATGCCTAAAGCGATCTGGAGCGCTATAGAGCGATTTGTCTCCAGGCCTGCCGCAACACTCCCCTTCCTCCGCCTTCTGTCGGCACTCCAAGGAGGGGGGCGAGGATGTCCTGAGCAATGCAGACTCAATCCAGAAGCCCTCTCCTGATAACCCTCAGGGCCTGAGGTGGAGTGTTCGGGGGGGCGCCCGCTCCGGGGGGAAACGTCGAGCTGGAATCGACGATAGATCGCCGATGGATCGGCGATAGGCCCTCAAGGGCAAATCCGCACGTTCCTGTGCGGGGCGATGCGCCCTCAGCGTTGCCCCTGATCCGCACGGCTTTCGGGCCACTGCTCGGGCCTCTGGCGGCCGTTCGGGACGATCTGGGCCCCCCCCGGGAGCACGCTCGCGGCGAGGCGCGGCCGCCGGAGGGCACCCCGAGGCTGGGAAGAGCCGTCGCGAGCCGACGGAGCCGCCCGAGAACCTCGACGCCCATCCCCCCCCCCCCCTGAGCCTACGCACGCCCCCCCCCCGCCCCCCCTCCCTGGCGTTGCCCCTGGGGGCCCCGCCCCTCAGGCCCCCCCCTCGCGCCCCCCCCTCCCCCTGCCCCCTGGGGCCGCCGCCCCGCGGCTCCGCCAGCTCTGCAGCGTCTGCACGCGCACCCGCGAGGAGCGCCGCGCCTGCAGGGGGCACAACCGCGGTGGCGACGCCGCGGCTCCGCGGACCTCTCTCCCGGGGGTGCGCTCCCGAGCAGGCTCGAGCCGTGGCACACTCACGGCGGGAAGCTTCTTGGCCGTTCTCGGGCTCCGAGGGCCCTCGCCGGGTCCCGGGACTTTATAGAAAACGACCCGGGGTCAAACCACCGATCCTGGGGAACGCGTCGGGGCTTCCGCGGACAGCGCACTGAAAAGAATCAAGACGTCGGATGTCTGGGCGGAACTTTCCCGGGGTGGGTTCTGACCAGGATCTCGAAGCGAAGCCAGCCGTGCCGACGAAGGAAGGGTAGCGATATTTCTTTCTTAAGAACGAATGGGGATTATGAAACCCGATTCGGAGACTGGATGAGGCCAGATAAGGCCCGGGATTGAGCTGGATCAAGCAAGATTAAACCGAATAGAACAGGATTAGTCCACATTAGGCCGGTTTCCCACCGCGGACACACCAACGCTGATGCTGAATGTGCCTTGCGTCCTAGGTCAGGAACTCGTGCTTAGCATGTCGCGGCGGCGGCCCTGACCGCACGCTGTGCCCCGCAAGCGCGCAGCGTGTCGCTCCGCTCCGCGGGGCGGGAGACCGAGACAGGCTCGGGCCAGTGACGCCCCGGGGCCAGAACGTGGACGGCGGGCCACGCCGCAGCGCGCTGGGCCACGACTGCTGCAGCGACACGCGAAGCGCCGAAGCTCCCCACCGCATATCCTCCTCCGAGCCTGCGGCCCCTCCCCGCTCGGCTCGTCGGCGCAGTACACGGCCAGCGGCAGCTCCACCAGCGTGGGCCCGCGCCCGCCGGCGGGCGCCGCCGCCGCGCCCAGGGGCACGAGGCACAGCCCCGCCCCGGCGCTGCTGGGCGCGGCGGCCGGCTTGGCCGGCGGAGCCGCGGCCGCGGCGACGGGCACGAGGCCGAGGCCGGCGCCATCCAGCGCGGCCGGCGGCGCGCCCTCGGCCGCGCCGGACACGGCCGCCGCCGTCTGGGAGTCGATGGGGCCGAAGATCTCCTCGGCCTCTCGGGCGGGTGGCAGTGGTGGTGACCGGCATGGGGGGCGGAAGAGAAGGGCCCTGCAGGGGCCCCTTCGGGCCCCTTCTGGATCCTTGTGTCTCCACCTCCCATGTAGGGTCAACCCCCATCGCCACCCGCCCGAGCCTCCAGCATCCACTGCGCCTTCCCGGCCTCGGTCGAGGGACAGCGATTTTTTCGCTTTGGAGGAGGAGGAGGGGGAGGAGGACGAGGAGGAGGAGGAGGAGGAGGAGGAGGCGGAGGAGGAGGAGGAGGAGTAGGAGGAGGAGGAGGAGGAGGAGGAGGAGGAGGAGGAGGAGGAGGAGGAGGAGGAGGAGGCGTGCGGAGCGCGGACATCCCTACTGGACTCAAAGATGCGTCAGCAATGCTAGTCGAAAGAACGCCATACGAGCCAGGAAGGCACAAAGCGACCTGCGATGGGCAAGCCTTGGCTGAAGGGCAACGATATGGTGGGGGACTCGCGCAGAGGGGGGGAGTGCATCGATCTGGAATCGGCGATACATCGCCGATAGATCGACGACAGGCCCCCGACTGCGGATCCTGGGTGGGGGTGGGTCTGTAGAGCCCGTAAGTATTGGCAATTTCGTCATTTTCCCCCTCCCTCGGCGACGCCCAGCCGATGGATCACACCTGGGGCCTGGGGGCTCCAGGCAAGGCAGCCACTCTTGGCAGAGAACCCACCCCGCGGGGGCCCAGGCAACGTGGCTCCCAGTGGTGCATCCTGAGTCGTTTTTAAATTGTCCAGGCTCCAGTGAGGCTCCCCGAAGGCCGAAACTGGCCAAATACCACACGCCATGCTGTCTTCGCGTCGCGAGGATGTCAGGGGACCCGTCCTGGCTCCCGCGCGATCGGCGGCCGCCGAGAACGCTGTCAGAGACCGCGCGGGGGCCGCGCGCTGAGCCCCGGGCGATCTGCGGGCTGCCCGGCAGGCCCGGCGGGCCGGCCCCAGCCTCGCCCGGGGTCCGCTCGGACTCGTCCCAGAGGCCGAGCTGGAGGCCCGAGCACTCCCGCGCGGGAGTGCCGGGGCTCCCCTCCGAGGCCGGGGCGGCCGCCTCGGCCGCCGCTGCCTCGGCCGCGGCCGCCTCGGCCTGCGCCAGCTCTGCGCGGGCAGCCTCCGGGCCGTGGCACGTCCCGCAGGCCGCGGCCACGCTGTCGCACGCGGACGCTACGCCATCGATGCAGTACGCGAGGGCCGACGCCACCCTCGCCGTCAGGGAGGCCACCCGCGCCGCCTTCGCAGGGCGGCTCGCGGGGGCCTCTGGCGCGTCTGGCCTGGCGCCCGCGGCGTCAGCTTCAGGCTCCTGGCGATGCTCGGGGGCCGCTGCGCGTTTCCTCGCGGAGAGCTCGCGCGCCTCGCTGCAGGGAGAGCTCGCCTGCACGGCGTCCGAGCAGAGCGGGGCCACAGGCTGGGCGCTCCTCCCCTGCGCCTCGCCGGCGGGCAGCTCGCCGTCCTCCGCGCTCCCGGGGTGGCCCCTCGCCAAGGCGGCGGCAACGGCCATGGCGATTGCCTTGTCCGCCTCCGCCTCCGCTCGCCCGCTAACCCCGGCGGAAGGCGCGGCCTCGGTGCCCATCCCCCCGCGAGCCGGTGCCTCCATTCCGCCCTCGGCCACCTCGTGGTCGGAGGCGCCTTCAGCGGTATTGGCGGCGTCCTCCTCCGCGTGCGCCTCCTCCGCCTGCTCGCAGACGTCGACCGTGGACGTGGCTCCCACGCCAGCCTCCATTTTGGCCAGCATCGCCACCTGCCCGCCGACGGCGCTGCTGGCAACGATGTCATCCTCCACCTGTGCCTGTAGGGGCCTCCTAACCAGATGGGGTCCGAGTAGATGGGGTCGGGAGATCTCTCCGCATCGCCGATGCATCGGCGATGCATCGGCTCCGTCGGCGTGGAGCACACCCAGCGCCACGTCAAGCCGCATTGGCGATGCATCGACGGTGCGGCGCTGTCCTACGACCCCATCTGCTCGGGCCCCATCTGGGAAGCCGCGAACCTCCGACGGGGACTCCACGCCGTGGTCCGCCGGTGTCTCTCCGACGCGGTCGGCGCCCATGGGCGGCTCACAGGCGGTCTCCGCCCCCTCGCCATCGACCCCCCGGGCCGCTGCGAGCCGCTCGAGGGCGGGCTCGGCGGCGGCGCTGCCGGCCGCTTCGCCCGCGGGGCTCGCGCCGTCGCCCGCCGCGTGCACCTCGCCCCCGCCGTCCTTGGGGACGGAGAGCACGGCAGGGACGTCCCCCAACCCCCGACGTCATGATTTTTTCATGACGCGACCCCCAGAGGTCCCGACCCATTCCCCGGGACCGGCTCTTCATCCCGAGTCGTTTCTGGACGGTCCCGAGGCCCGGCGAGGGCCCCCAGAGGCCGCAAAGAGTGAAAAACACCTCCCGTCGCTATTTTTTCATGACCCGAGGGGGTCTGGGTCCTCCTCCTCGCCCTCCTCGTCCCATTTCTCCCCTCGGCCGCACGCGGGAGCGGCCCCAAGGCAAGAAGGGAGCGGCCTCCCGGGGCAGCCGGGGGAGAGAGACGGGGGCGCCGGCCCAGGCGCGCAGGCCGCCTTTTGGCGCCCGCACCCGGCGGTCGAGGGGGGCCCACGTGGGTCCGCACTGGGGCAGGCCACTGCGGCGACCTGCCCTCGCTCGGACGTCTTTGCCCCGTGCGTTTCTCGGTCTCGTGCGTTTTTTTTGTGTGTTTTTGTTGTTGTTGTTGTTGAACATTATTCCTTCTAAAGAATTATTATTGTTGGGACCCCTGGTGCGCGACCTCTGCGCCGCGCCTAGGCCGCAGCTACATTTTCATCATTTTTTCGCGAAAGCTTCAGAAAAGTGGATGAGCTCCGGATCCGGTTTTTTGTTGACGCTCGTTTTCCCTTGCAAAAAACAATAGAAAATGAAAATTCTTGTTTTTACTTGATCAAATTGCAAGAATCCCTTGCAAAAAATAAGGTAAAGTGGACATTCGTGCGCGCAAGACGAAATCCTTCCAAAACCTTAGGTTTCGTAGCGATTTTAACATAAAAACATCAAAAACCCAATGGTTTTCTCAGAAAAAATTGTCAAAATGTCCTTCCGCGCGCTCTTGCGGATTCCTAGGAAACCCACCAGATTTTAAACATTTCTGTTAAAAGGGCCTTTGCGAGGAACCTTTTCAGGTGCTTCGACCTTCTGCAACAACGGTTGCGAGCCTACGAGGGCCACCATCCCTTGCAAAAAATGACACGAAGTGCACATGCGCGCGGCCGCCGCCACTGGCTCTCTGTCTTGCTCTCTCTCTCTCTCTCTGTACTATGTATGTCATACGCAACAAATGCACCATGCGGGGCACATGCGGGGCCCAAACAAGTGATCAACCTCTGCGGGTGTGTACTCCACGCCAGTGTAGTATCCACGATCGTCCGCGCGCCACGAAGTGAAGTGTCCTGACGTCATAGGGCGGGAAGCTGGGTGTGGGTGGTTCCCGAGAGTCGTGTGGATGTTTGGTAGAGCTTGCATTGCCCCCCCACGAAGTGGGGGTATTGGCTGGCGTCGCATGAAAACCCTGGCACTGGGGAGAACACTGAGCGTTCGGGTAAAATGATTGTTGTTGTCGTTGTTGTTGTTGTTGTTGTTGTTGTTGTTGTTGTTGTTGTTGTTGTTGTTGTTGTTGTTGTTGTTTTTTTCTTTTTCTCCGCAAAAGGGCCCAATATGCTCCTCGATGGCCCTCGCCGAGGAAAAGTGCACACGTCCGAGCGATGCCAGGGCGAAGGGTCACCTCACATTACCTCGTAGTCGCGCTTTCGGGTCAGAAGTCAAGTCTCCAGCGGCCGCTCGGGACGACTCCAGTACCCTCGGAACGCCCTCGGCGAGGCGAAGCTGCTGGAGAGCATCCCGAGGGTGGAAAACCACTGGGATCCGACGAAAGCGGCCTGAAACCGCCCAAGACACTGCGCGGCGAAGGGCCACTTTTGCGCGCAGCCGATCCTCTCGAGGCGGGCGGTCCGCGCGGACCTCCTCGCGCTGGGCCTCCGCGGCGGCGCTGGCGGGCTCCGCGCAGTGAGCAGGCGCGGCGGGCGGGCTGGCCGCGGGGGGGCCGCGGCCGCTGTGCGCGCTCGGGGGCGCGTCCGTCTCCCCGCCCTCGCCGCCGTCGTCCGTCTGCTCCTCGGGAAGGGGGAGGGGATGGCGAGCGAGAGGGGGAGGGTTGTTTTGTCAGAGTGAGCCACAGACCAGTGTACTGTCGTCAGTGTCTTGCCTTGTTCATGTGCGCTCTATCTCCGCTGCCGTTTGTATCAGGGATTGTTCGCAGTGCGGGGCAGGCACTAGACAAAACCTTGCACGGTTACCTCTCTGCACATCATGTGGTCAGCCAGTGGGAAGCAGTGGTTTTCCCATCGGTAGCGGAACAGGTTGCTCCAGCGTCCTAGGAGGGACGCCCAGCTCCTGCCGGGAGGCGCTGGCAGACGACAGACCACAACATGACGACAGAGTCCACGGAACCGAAAGGGCTTCGGTACTTCAACGGAGATGGCGGTCAGAGCAGCAATCAGGAGCTGCGCAAGTGGATCCGCCGACCCCTCGGGTCATCGGCGTGTGAGATGCTTCCCCCTCCCCAAACCCCTCCCCCGGGAACCCGGTCCGGTCGATTTGGAAGGGGGGGGGGTGCCGACTACGAGCGACTCACGACGCTCTTCCGGGCCCAAAAGGGCCCAAATACGGGCCAAAAAGGCCCCGAGAGGCCTCCCACACGTTCCAACAGGCCCCCAGACGCCCCAAGAGACCGCCTAGACGCCCTAAGAAGCGCCCAAAAGGCCCCAAGAGGCTTCCAAGACGCCCCACGAGGGCTCCAAGACGCCCGAAGAGACCTCCAAGACGCCCCAAGAGACCTCCAAGAGGCCCCCGAGGAGCGCCCCAAGAGGCCAAAATCGTTGATTTTCATTTGTTTTTGTCGATGTTTTCGTCGTTTTCGCCTTTTCGGCCTTCCGACGCTCCAAGACAGCCCAAGAAGCTCCCAAGATTGCTCCAAGACGGCACAAGAGGCCTCCACGACGCCCCCAAGACGGCCCAAGAGAGCCCCCAGACGGCCCAAGAGCCGCCCAAGGCGGCCCAAGAGAGCCCCCAGACGGCCCAAGAGCCGCCCAAGACGGCCCAAGAACCTCCCGGAGACGGGCCCAAGAGGGGCTCCAGAGAGAGACCACGCACCGGAAAACCCAGCCTTACGCCCCAAGAGGCCCCCAGGAGGCCCCAAGAGGCCCCAAAGAGGCCCCAAGAACCCCCCAAAAGGCCCCCCACACGTTCCAAGAGGCGCCCAAGAAGCCACAAAGAGGCCCCAAAACGGCCCCCAAGAGCCTTCGAAACTGCGCCAAGAGGCCCGCAAGAAACCCCCCTGCGAGATCCCATCGGACATCTCCGAACACACCGGTTTTTCGAGTCGCGCCCAGCCCCATAACCCGGAGCCTCATCTCAGTGTCCCCCTCCTCCTCCTCTTCCTCCTCCTCCTACACTTCCTCCTCGTTCCCCTCCTCCTCTTCCTGCCCCGCTTCAGCTCATCCTCGCCGATGCTTTTCCCCCCCATTTTCCGCCTCACCCCCCATCCTCCTCTTCCCGTCCCCCCTTTTCTGCCCAGTGCGCGCAACCGATTGGGCATCATTGGCACGTCTTGCACTTTAGGGTGCCCTTCTTTGCGTCGCGCGGGACATTGTGCGGGTCGGGGAACGCCGACCTTGGTAGTCCTCTCTTGCACGCGCCGCTGCACTGATAAACCTGGCAACTGCGCGCTGTGAACCCGAGTTCCTCGCAGCTTCTGCACACCACTTTAGCTCCTTCCGCCGCTCGATGATGTTCCACTTGCTTCTGCTTCAAATGTTTCGTGTCCGAGAACGCGCCTTTGCACGCCGCGCACGTCAGCGGTTTCGCGTCCGCCTCTGCTTTCCGCTTGCGATTCTCTGCAACCGCCTTCTCGTTCCGCCCACCCTTCTCGTTGCGGGCGCACGCCCTGCAAAGCCTCTCCCCCGCATTTTTCGAGTCGTACTGGTTCGCCGCCACTTCCGCCTCCGTCGTCCAAGATTGCCTCCAAAACAAGGGGTCGGCGGTGTGGCGTAAGCCTACAGAATCAAGTGGGTTCGTTCGGCGATGGCATGCCGAAAGCTCGAGTCCACGCAGAAGGGGCCTTTCGTCTACACACTGCTGCAGGGCTCAGCGATGGAGATTGTGGACCATCTTGAGTTTGAAGATTATGAAGTGGAAGACGGTGAACAGATCCTATTAGACCTCTTGTTGAAGCGTTGACCGGCAAAAGAACAGGAGGATATCCTCGGCGAGCACCTGGAGGCGGTGTTCGCGCTCCAGGGACGGGAAGGAGAACCCGTCGCGGCCTCGCTGGGCCGGGCGAAGGAGGTGTTTCAGAAGTGTGGTGTTAAAGCCAACGTGCAGTTTCCGACGGAGGCCCAGGCTTGGATCCTGTTGCATCGGTGTGGGTTCACGCCTGACCAGCGGGCCATCGTGAAGGCGAAGGCGGTGAAGTACACGGCTGACGCCATGGAAGTGGCGATTCGAGCGGTGTTTCCCACTTACAAGGTGCCGAAGCAGCGACGTGCCGAGGCGGGCGCGTTCCTGGCTGACCAAGCAAAGGACGATGAAGACGGTTTTCCTCCCTCTCTGCTGCCGTGGCAGTATGAGACGGAGGCGGTCCAGGAGGATGACTTGGCGGACGTCGATGCCCTTCTGGCCGAGGGGTCTCTGGAGGCGGCAGTGCCCGACGAGGTCTGCGAGGAGGCTGAGTTGGTCGAAGTGCTGGCGGCAACGTGGAAGAAGAAACGCCAGGAGATCAACGATGCCCGCAAGACGCGGAATTTCCAGAAAGCAGACAAGCTGCAGATCACTTTCCGCCGCGAGCTCGAGGAGGCCAAGCGGAAGATCCGGTGCCACGCCTGCAAGCAGATTGGCCACTGGTCCCGAGAGTGCCCGTAGAAGAAGGGCAAGGGTTTCGGCAAGCGTGGCAAACCTTCTGCGGCGGCGGGGGCAGCGTTCGTGGTCCTGGAAGGAGCCGGAGCGCATGATGTCAGCCTGGCCACCGTGCTGCAGCAGATGCGGGCTCGCCGTGCTGTGGCGGAGCCGGGCCAGGGTAACCCGATGGAGATCCTCTTTGCATGCCCGACGGGCAAAGGTGTGGTGGATCCTGGCTGTGGTAGGACGCTCATCGGGGAGAACCCGCTGGCGAAGCTGAAGTCTCTGTTGGAGTCCAGAGGTCGGCGCGTGGAGTTCTACGAGGAGATGAACGTGTTCAGGTTCGGAAACAGTGGTCGAGAGGAGTCGAATCTGGCGGTCAAGATCCCTGTCGAGATCGGCCAGGTGCAGGGCTACATCACGGCCGCGGTGGTACGGGGAGACGTCCCGCTCCTGCTGAGCAAGCCGCTGCTGAAGACCCTCCAGGGCCGTATGGATTTCACGACAAATCGGATCTCGTTCGACGCACTGGGGACCACGGTGGACCTTGAGGAGACCGAGTCCGGAAACTATATCATGCCAGTGGTCGCAGACATCGCGGACGTCTACACGGTGGCGGCCAGCAACGAGCCGCTATTGCCGAGGGAGTTCACGGCGGAGCCTGAGAACTTGAAGGGCTCGGTAGAGGAGGAGAAGGAGAAGGCCACGGAGGACACGGAGGAGGAAATTCCGAAGAATACCAATATGGAGGTGGAGATGAGTCAGGTGATCCCCGGGGCCACGGAGAACTTGGAGGAGCCCGGGACCTCGGTGCTGAAACGCAAAATCCGACGTCAGTTGCAGGAACATCTTCGGGAGGCTCTGGGTATTTCCCATGAGACAGTACAATGGCGGGTTTCGGAACTGTTTTCCCCACCTCGTGTACTGAAGCGGGCCGAAGAGACCAACCGTGGAACGGGACGTAGTTACGATTTACTGACGGGTTACGATATTTCCGACCGGACGGTTCAACATAAGATCACCAACGAGCTGAAACGGTTTCGACCCCGTGTGCTGGTGGCATGCCCCCCCTGTACCTGGTGTGGCGGTTTTGCGACGGTGAATGCACGACTGCACAGTATGACGGAACATATGCGTATGGTACGGGAGGCACGTGCGCGTATACGGTACTGCATATGCGAGATACATGCACAACTCGATCGCGGATACGATGCCGTGTTTGAACACCCCGTGCGATCGATTGCGTGGAAGATGCCCGAGATGCAGCGTTTACGGGAACGGATGTTGGAGGTATCGACCGATATGTGTGCACACGGTCTACGAGAACCCGGGGGCCTCAACTTTATGAAGAAACAAACTCGTTTGCTGGTTTCGTCTCAACGACTGGCTCAGTGTCTGGGCAAACGGTGTCCCGGGAACCACGATCATGTGACTATCGAAGGGAAGTCGCACGGTGTTTCCAGGAGTAAATGGGCAGCTTTATATACGACGGACTTTTGCGAAGCGATCTTGCGAGGCACCGACGACCTCGCACAGTTCTGGGCCGCACGTGTGGACGCTCCTCTGAGTTTTGAGCAGGAGCTGTCGCTTCTGCCTCTGGAGGCCAGCCTACGCGAGGTCTCACAACGCGGGAGTCTGCAGCTGCTAGAGGCCGGGCTGTCTCAGTGCTGCTTGGCCGCGGACCTGGAGGATCCCGAGGCCGGACAGGACCAGCCCAACTCTCCTTCCCCAAGTGCAAATGCCCAGAACATCCGAAATGCCCTCAGGAAGCTACACGCTAACCTGGGCCACGCGGCCCCTCGGGAGATGGTCCGAATCCTACGACACGGCGGGGGACACGATGAAGCCATTCCGGCTGGCACGAATTTTTCGGTGTGATCTCTGCGATGAAAACAGGATGCCGACACCATCTGGGACCGTCTCGGGACATCGGATCCTGGAGTTCAACAAACAGGTAGGAATCGACGGGGTAAACATTCCAGGCCAAGCTCGTGGAGAAAATGCGGCCCCAGTTCGTTTTGGCCGACAACGGCTGCGGGACCCCAAAGCCGAGGCCAACGCGACCGAGATCGCCCAGGGGCGGTCCCGTTTCGGAGACGGCGGATGGGTGTGCAAGGAGACCCGACCAGATCTTTCCTGTCGGGTCTCTCTCGGCCAGAGCTGTTTTCCACAACCTACTGTGGGTGAGCCAGCTCAGAGTGCTGCGATGGTGCGTCGTGCCAAGCAATCTGCGGGCTTGGCGATTGCTTACCTGCCGATACCACCTGGACAACTGACCATGATCGCACACCTGGATGCTGCCTGGGGAAATGCGAAAAACAACGGAACCCAGGCTGGATGTGTACTGGCGTTTACGTCTACCGACATGTCTCTCGGCAAAGAGGCCCCCTGGACCCCGTTTAATTGGCGTTCGTTTCGACTCAAACGACTGGTACCCAGTACACTGTCGGGAGAGGCTCAGGCAGCCTCCATATGTTGTGCTGCTCTGGAATGGATGTCCTTGCTGTTGTATGAGGCCCTCGACGGGCCCATCGATGCGAAGAATATTGACGACTGTATGTGTACGCGGGAACCAATTGTGGTGACGGACTGCAAATCATTATATGACCATGTGAAAGCGAATACCTCCCCCTCCAGCCTAGAAGACAAACGATGTGCCATCGATGTGGTGATGATCAAAGACTCGGTCAAACGCTGTGGTGCGAGTTTTCGTTGGTGCCCGACAAACCGACAACTAGCTGACGCCCTTACCAAGGATAAAGGGGACCTCGCAGACCTCTTGCGGGCCTGCATGAGAGCCAATAGGTACCAACTAGCCGACGAACAGTATGTGCTTGAATTAGAAGCTAGCGAACGGGAGAACCGACAGTCACGTGGGGCCCAAAGAAAGGAACAATCGACGAGGATGCCTGGGGATCCTGTGTGATTGTGCTGACGTTTGGGAACAAGGACCGGGCTCCAATGCATGAATATGTGCGTGTATGTGCCACACGTGTACTACCCACACGTGCGTGATCCGACTCCTGCTACCTTGGTTTGAGGCTCAGACCACAATATTTCTCCGTATCCCCTTGGTTGGGCGACGAGTGCGTGTGTAGACACTCGTATTCTGCCAGCGCAGAGCCACCCAGCCGCCATGGTCAAGAAGGAGCCTCCAGAGACCCCAGCCGTTACCGGTGAGGACTTCGCTCAGCGCCTACACCAGGCTCGGCTCAAGGTGAAAGGCGAAGCCACGACCTGCGCCACGTTGGGTTTCGGCAAGCACAAGGGGAAGAGTTTCGAGACGGTCTGGGAGACAGCACAGGGCTACTGCTCATGGTGCTTGGCTCACCTGAGCCCGTCCAGCGGCTACAGCCAAGCCGCATGGCTGGCGTTCCTCGTCGAAAAGACCGAGAGCGGTGATGTGCGCCCCGAGGGCAGTGCCAGGGCCAGTTCCGATGCGGACGACACGGCCCTGAAGCAGGTGATGGATCAGTTTCAGGATGCTGCCACCGACCTGGACAATCGTGTGTCATGGCTCGAGGAGGCCGACCATTTCACTCAGATAGATGCCCGGCTTGAGGCCCTCGAGACCAGAATGATTCAGATGGAGCACGCACTGACCAGGATTTTAGAGGTCTTGAGCGGCGCTGGCATGCCAGTGAACCTTCAGTAGCTTTGCTGAGGTGTGCTGTACGAGTGGACGGCTCTGCCTAGCACAACATGGTTCTGTGTTTCTGTCTTTTCACTTCTCGTTGCTGCTTCCACAGTTGAAGATTTTAGAGGAGTGTTTTTGTCAGAGTGAGCCACAGACTCAGACCAGTGTACTGTCGTCAGTGTCTTGCCTTGTTCATGTGCGCTCTATCTCCGCTGCCGTTTGTATCAGGGATTGTTCGCAGTGCGGGGCACTAGACACAACCTTGCACGGTTACCTCTCTGCACATCATGTGGTCAGCCAGTGGGAAGCAGTGGTTTTCCCAGAGGGGAGGACAGGACACAGCAGGCGCTCGGCGGGCGGTTGGTCCAGTTGAAGAACCTCGTGCCCTCTGCCCCTCTGCAGCATCACATGGATGCAGGCCCCGCCGTCTGTGGGGGTGGGCCTGCCTGCTCACCCCCGTGGGACCCTCCGTGGACTCCATGGGGTCCGACTTGGGAGGAGGTTCAGCAGTGAGGCCTGATTCGACTTCACTGGTCATGGAAGGAGCGGTCTGCTGGCAGCTGGAGGGGGAGCCCAGATATCCGACGCCATCTTTTTTCGCAGCGTGGTCTCCAAGGGGTCTGAACCCCTTTCCAGGGACCGAGTCGTTCTTTGACGGTCCCGGGCTCGGTGAGGGTCCCTATAAACCAGAAGTTGCCGAAAGCGAGCGTCAGGGAGGGGTAGGATCGCACGAAACTCCAGAGGGCTGGCTGCAGCTACTCCAGCTGTGCGGAAACCGCTCTCCGAGGATTACGGGGACGTCAGCGTGGAGGAAGAGGAAGAGGAGGAGGAGGGGGAGGAGGAGGATGAGGAGGGGGAGGAGGAGGAGGAGGTGGAGGAGGAAGAGGAGGAGGAGGAGGAGGAGGAGGAGGAGGAGGAGGAGGAGGAGGAGGAGGAGGAGGAGAAGGTGAAGGATGCTTTAGCCTCGAAGTGCGGTCTTGTGCGCTCATGCGTGCCTCCCGTCCCCAGACCTCCCAGGAATGCAGACGATCGGCAGAAAGGAGGCTGCGTGGGGGGTGGGTGGTAGGGCAGTGCGGGGTGGGTGGGGGGGGGCACTCTCCAGGATCGGCAATGAGGGTCACGCACGGCGTCTAGCGACCCTTCTTCTTGCTCCCCCTCCTCCGCATCACGCTCGTGCTGCTGGCGCTGCTGCTCATTCTCCTCGTGCCTTGCCACTCCTTCGCCTCCTCGCGTCGTGCTGCTGCTGCTGCTCCTCATCCTCCCTTCGCCGTGATTCCTGTTGGAATCCTCCGCACGCATTGCCCTCCGGAGGAGGAGGAAGAGGAGGAGGAGGAGGAGGAGGAGGAGGAGGAGGAGGAGGAGGAGGAGGAGGAGGACCGCTGTCAACCCAAGACTCATCAACGATGTTGGAGTAAACCCTCCTTCCAAGCTCCCTCTTTCGAGGCTCCTTCAAGGGTTCATTTCCAATGATGTAAATGCCTCGTTGGAAGACAATCGTTTGAAGACCCTGAAGCACGCCAAAACACCATTCTCGGGACTCCATCTCCACGGATCAACCTGACTATTGCGTGTTGACGATCCTGAATCGTGCTAGAGCGCCATTCCTGAGACTTCAACACCGCGAATCAACGAAACAGCTGCGTCCTCGCAGGCCTGAGTCCTTCCCAAACACCATTGCTGGTACGTTCGACCACGGGAATACATGAAGCTCTTTCAATTTGTTCAAACGAATCTGCGCGGCACTCAATCGGTGACACTTTTGCGAACTTTTTAAGCCGGATCTGTGCGGCGCTCAGGCAAGATCCACATGTTGAAAACGACCCGTTCTCAACCCGTGAAGCTAGGAGGAAGAGGAGGAGGAGGCGGAGGAGGAGGACCAATGTAAACCCAAGAGTCATCAACGATGTTGGAATAAGAGGAAGGCTTCTGGGCGAAGATGGGGGCGAGAAGGAGGAGGCGGGAGGAGGAGGGGGGAGGAGGAGGCGGATGGTAAGGAAGACAGGTTGACCAGTTCTCTGCCAGGCTGTCAGCCCAAGTAGCTTGCGATTCCCTGAGCTCTCGCAAGCTGCTCTAGCCTAAGAGCACCACCATTCACAAGCCCTGTCCCCTCTCGTGGGCGTCGGACTAGCGGCAGCCTCAGCGTCCCGCCTCTCTTGTGGCCCTCATGCTTCGGCCCCTCGGCCCTTGATGGGGGCCGTGCCTTGAGGACTGCTGCTGCAAGAACCCCGACATCCGCCGATGTGACTCTTTCGGCCCGCGGCCCGAGAGAGGCTCCAGAGGCTCCAGAGGAGGAGGAGGAGGAGGAGGGAGGAGGAGGAGGAGGAGGGGGAGGAGGGGGGGGAGGAGGGGGAGGAGGGGGAGGAGGAGGAGGAGGAGGAGGAGGAGGAGGAGGAGGAGGAGGAGGAGGAGGAGAAGGAGGAGGAGGAGGAGGAGGAGGAGGAGGAGGTGACCGTCCTGGGGCCCGAGAACGGGCCCCCAAAATGGAGGCCAGGACGAGGATCGCACTGGGCGAGGAGGAGGAACCGAGAATCCCTGGGAGCCGGCGGCGGCTCTGGAGGAGGTCTCGGGCGCCGCGGCCTTCTCGGCGCGCGTTCCGGAGGGCCCTGGCACGGATCCGTCCTCGTCCTGGCCCGAGGGCGGGCCCTGGAGGCCGAAGTCGAGGCGGAAGGCCCAGACCGAAGACAGCACGTCGTCGGCGATCTCGGGCCGCCCTCGCCCGACGGGACGCTTCGGGCCCCCCTGCATTGAAGTCGGGCGTGTCCCCCTACAGGGGGACTTCCGACGAAAAATTAAAGATGCACAACAAAATACTCCACAATGGTCAAACAATGCTCAAAACATATTCCCCAGACCATTTTTCGACTATTTTGGAATATTCCCCGTGTAGAGGGACAGGCCCGACTGAACCCTGGATCCTCGCCGGAGGGGGCGGCCTCCGCGCCAGCCTCCCAGTCGGCCAGCGCCTCCACCTCGCACGGGGTGGGGGGCAATGGGAGGGAAGGGGGGTTCCGGTTTCCAGGAGTGGGGCGCTCAGAAGGGGGGAGGGTCGCAAATCATGGTCCGAGGCACGTGCGCGGTCCTGGGGAGGGGGGGGCAGGAGAATTGTTGAAACAAGAAGAGGGGCCACGAAATCCGAGGAGATATCATGGCCCTGGCCATGATATCCTCCCCCCCCTGGGGCATTACCCCCCTCTTGGCCGCCCCTGGGGAGCGATGGGGGGAGCATGAGCGGGAGGAACGGGAGGGAGAAGGCCTACGGTGGTGCTGCTGGTGGTGGCCCGTAGGCGCAAGCTGTCGGGCGTCTGATGTCGGGGAACTTTTTCTCCTGCTCCTCCTCTCCTCCACCTCCTGCCTTTCTCTCGCCCCCCCCCCAACCCTCTCCCTGTCCTCTTCCTCCCCCTCCCCCTCCCCCTCCGCCTCCTCTTCCTCCCCCTCCCCCTCCACCTCCTGCCTTTCTCTCGCCCCCTCCCTGTCCCTCCCCCTCCTCTTCCTCCCCCTCCTCCCTCTTCCCTCCGCTCCGCCCGCCCGCTCCCCCCCTCTGCGGGCTGGCCCGCCCGCCCTCTCCTCCTCCCCCCCCCGTCTCCCCCCCCTCTCCCTTGTGGCGGTGCCCTGGGGCGTTGCTCATGGGGAGGCCATAGAACGGGGGGGGGGGGTCAAGCAAGCACCGTCGGAGCCCCAGGGCCCTTTTGGGGCCCCTTTCATGCAACCCTCGATCGCCCTCCCGTCTGACCGCCCCCAAACGCCCGATGCTCGCTGTAGCATGGCCGTTTCAGGCAGCTGGGTGCTGCAACGCCAGCAACAAAAAGAAGCGCGCGCATCTTCGAGCCAACACCGATGCCCCCCTCGCAGTGCCTTAGATCTACAAGGGGGATCGGAAGCATGGAACTTCGACATTCCATTAAAAAGTGGACGTGGCCAAGGCTGGACGAACATCGCCGGGGCGAACCAAGATCGGGTAGGGCAGCCATGACACTCATACACGGGGCGGAACTTGCCATGGCTGGAGTTTGTGGATGGGCTGGCCCCTGCCACTTTGCATGCAACGCCAGAGGGGGTCGCCACTGGGGTCTCGCAACTCCTCCGCAGGAGTGGGAGCGGGACGCCCCAGGACCCCTCGGCCCAGAACCACCCGAAGCGCCCAACAGCCCTGTCGATCCACGACCCCTCCCGCCCACCCGATCCTCAATAGGATGTGGCGACCCCCCTGCGGTGACCCCGTTCGGCACTGTCTGACCAGCATCTTTTTCCAAATTACCTGCGCGATGCGAGCCCCGCCAGTCCGATGGTCGGTCGGTGGCTTGGAGTGTTCCATAGGCTCGAACTTCTCGTCCCAGGGTTCCCAGCCCCAGGGGCCCAACCACTCTGTACTGTCGTTTCGTTTCGCTCTCCAGATGGTGCTTGCCTCCAGCTTTTACGCCACATCAGAGAACTGGGCTTGGGGGAACGATGCTTCTGCGTGTCCTCATGGCGGGTTCCGCAAACTCCGCGCCCAAAGATACTGCCATTCCTCGAGGGCGCACCCTCTGCTTCCGCCGACGTCCGCGGGCGGAGCCGCCCCCGCTCTGCCTCCCCCGCCCTCTGCAGAACCGAGGCCCCCTTCCGGAGCAGCCCGCGTGCCGCGCTGGCGGGACGCGCCCAAGGGGTACGAGGACTCGGCGAAGCAGTGCCTTGCACTCCTAGCCTCGCAGGGTCACGCCTTGCTCTGCGACGTTTCCCGTGGTGCGGCTGTCGGGCCCCGCCCGTGCGCTGCGTGCGGCGACTCTCCCGCGGGGCTCGTGGGTGCGGTCATTCGGGCCCCGCCCATGCATGCTGCGAAGGGCATGGCCTCGGAGGAGAAGCTGCAGGTCTAGTCCTGCAAAGGCTGCGCCCATATATTGCAAGCATTTTTTTTGTTTGTTCTCTCTCTCTCTCTCTCTCTCTCCCTCCCTCTCACACAACCTCTCTCTATACATGGTGTACAATCAAGTCTGTTGTTGTCATTCGTTTGTTTCTGCTTCCTGTCCTCTCTCGTTTTTTGGTTGTTGTTTTTGTTGTTGTTGTTTCCCTCTCTCTCTGTCTTTAGGGCGTCACTTTAGGCATCTCGGGGACCACACGATGTAAAGGTTTTCTGTTTCGCCTCCAAGACTCGATCAATCGATGTGCGAACCACGTCATCAATAGTTTTGCTTCCGAGGCGTTCCATCAAGAGACGAGGCTTGCTGGCACCCCTTTGTGCCCGAGAGGCCCCCGAGATGGCCGAAAGGACGCCCGAGACGACGCGAAAAGGCCTCCAAGAGGCCCCCCCCAGATGGGTCTGGGGGTCGGAGTCGGGCCGTGGGTGCTGAGCCTGATCTGGTCCCGTATGACTCGGCCTCCCCTGGCTCCCCTCTGGATTCCCACCCCCCACCCCAGCGGTCCTCGGTGTCCGCCTTTGGCTGGTTGTGCTGGTCTCTGTGGTCTCCTATGGCTTTGCCTCTTATGGCCCCAGTGGGTATGGGTGTCGGAGTCGGGCAACGTTTGCTGGGCGTCCTATGGCATCCCTTAGTTTGATTTGGCCTCCGACGGCTTCCGTGTTCCGCTTGTTCCCTGTACCGCACTTGTATTGGCTGTTCGGCCTCCTATGGCTTGGCCTTTTGTGGTCACCTACGGATCCCAACGGCTTCCCACCCAACTGGCCCAGTGGGTTCCACACGCATGCGGCTCTACACCTGTAGCGCGAGTGAACTGTTTGGTGTCTGCGCGCTGGCATCACTTTTTTCTGACGAGCAATCTCGGCGATTGCCACTGCTGGCTCGGCAATTGGACTTCCCCTTTTGAGGGTTATTTCCAATAGTATGCTCGCTACAAACACGCGCTTGTCCCGGAAAACATGCGTCGGTTCTTCATGCTGGCCTCAGAGGGCCGCTGTCCCAGTGGGCCCACGCACGCGCAGGGAAGAAGAGCAGCATTCCCGCTCTGGCACGCATTCGTGCTCGCCAACGTATTCGCACGCACCTGCGCTTTTCGAATGTATGCTATATGCGTGTGTTTACTTGCGCCCATGCATGCGTGCACACATTGAGGTGAACAGCCAGGTCCACTATGTGGCGCATCCTGCTGCGTGGCACGTACTCGTCAGCCTCAGAACGGTATGCACGGTCCGCCACATCAGCCAATGCTGCCACCAAGTGCCAGCGACACGCACTCTGCCTTCCTGGCTCGGGTGTGCACCTCTGACGGCCGCTTCTGGAAAGCCATTCTCCCCCCCCGCCTCGCTCTCGGCCGTGTTGCGCTCCGCGGCGGGGACGCCAGCAGTGCCGGCCGCAGAGACGTCGCCCTCCGCCTGCACCGCACCCCTGAAGTCGCCGGGCGCCGCGGCCTCCGCGGTGGCCTCGGCCGCCCCGTCTTCCGGCACCTCCGCGGCGGCCTCTGCCCCCTCCCGGCCGACCTCACCCTTGGGAGTGCTGATGGCACCGCCTCCAGGGGAGCCGCCCTCCTGCCCCTGGAAGAAGAAGCAAACATGCATGAACATAACCATTCGGAGGTCCGCGTGGACCTCCGACAATTTATGCTCATGTGTGTTTGTTTCTTCTTCGAATCCCCGCGCCTCTGCCACCTGCCCGCCGGGGTCGCGGGCGGGCACGGTCTCATCGCACGCAACCCAGTCGGCTGGCTCCTCCGCATTGGCCTCGGGGGCGCCTGGGGCAGCACTGCCAGCGACGGCGGCACCCTCCTCTGCCCGCGCATCTGCCGACTGCCCGCAGACGCCGCTGTTGGGCGCGTCCTTGGCGCCTGTGCTGATGCTGCTGGTCCTCCTCCTCTTTCTCCTTCTCCTCCCCTCCTCCTCCTCCCCCTCCTCCTCCTCCTCCTTCTCCTCCTCCTCCTCCCCCTCCTCCTCCTCCTCCTCCTCCTCTTCCTCCTCCTCCTCTTTCTTCTTCTTCTTCTTCTTCTTCTTCTTATTCTTCTTCTTATTTCATATCCTCCTCCTCCTCCTGTCCCTTCTCTTTCCCTTTCTCTTCCTCCCCTGCTTCCCCCCCTCCCCCTCCTCCCTCACCTCCTCCTCGGTTCGAGAAGCCCTGCAGGCCAGCTCGGCCGAGCAGGCCAGCTCGCATGCGGGAGGGGGGAGATCTCGAGGGGGCGCGGCCCACGCTGGAAGTCTGCCGCCCTGCGCCAAGGAGTCGGGCGGCCGTGAGTGGGGGAGGCCCGACGCGGCTCCAGCGCCAGCCAACACTCCTTTCGAGCCGCCGCCAGACTTGCCGTCCGCGACGGCGTGATCGTGCGGGAAGGCGGGGCGCGGTGTCGCGGGCCTCGGGCTGGACTGTCGCCCTCAAGCCCGTGCGCAACAAGATGGCTGGATGGTGGCCTGGCCGCTTGGCCGACGCTTCCTTCGAGGCTACGAGATAGCATAGCAAACGTCCAAGTGTCCAGGCCTCCCTCTACTCCTCCTCCGCCTCCTCCTCCTCCTCCTTCTTCTTCTTCTCCTCCTCCTCATCTCCATCTTCACCTCCACCGCCACCTCCATCTCCACCACCTCCGCCTCCTCCTCCTCCTCTTCCTCCTCCTCCTCCTCCTCCTCCTTCTCTTTCTCTCCTCCTCGCCTGTCTCTCTGTGGGCAGGCGCAGCCGTCGCACAGGGGCTGGCCGCGGGGTCACTGCTGGCCACATCGTCTCCAGCGATGCCCTCCTCCGCCTCTGAGGAGGAGAAGGAGAAGGATGATGATGATGATGCTGATGATGATGCTGATGCTGCTGATGATGATGATGATGAGGAGGATGAGGAGGAGGAGAAGGAGGAGGGTGAGGAAGGGGAGCGAGGAGGAGCGAGGAGGATGATGACCCAATCTCCATCGCGTCGTGAAAAACGCGCGACGGGACATGATTCGCAAAATTTTGGCCTCCGAGGGCCCTCCCCGAGCCTCGGGGCCGTCAGGACACGACCGAGGATGACGAGCCAGTCTCGGGGCCTGGGTGCAGACCTCTGGGGGTCCACGCTATGAAGGAGGAGGAGGAGGAGGAGGAGGAGGAGGAGGAGGAGGAGGAGGAGGAGGAGGAGGAGGAGGAGGGTCTGGGGAGGGAGGGCGGAGGAGCGCGGAGGATGAGGATGCAGTGGAGGAGGGTGGGAAACGAGGAGGCTCCTATCTGAGCATTTTCTTAGGGTGGAGGGCTCAGGGTGAAATCCATATGGTTTTTGCACCTTGAAAATCGATCCGTCTTGTGATTCACCTTCTGCAGATTCAACCTCGAAAATCAATCGGAACGGCATTTCAAATTTCACCCTTTGCCCTCCACCCAAAGCAAATGCTCGGCATATTCTCGTCAATTGAACTTCCTGCTGGCCGAATTTTACTATCGACTCCCATGGGGGGATGCTGGGCCCGAGGGTCGAGAGGCGCCGCAGGCCTCAAGCGACGTCCCCACCCTGCCCTGGCTGCTGGATCTCGACGTTATTCTGAATTCGGGGAGGTCCCCAAAATGTTGGCAGCAAAATGCTGGTACTGTCGATGGGCGGCGCCCAGGTACGCAGCTCCTGCAACCGCTGCACATCGGGGCACTCTGGCAGTAATTGGAATCCACCCTCGATACCCCTTAAAGCTCGTCATTGCCTAGAAACTGGGGTTTCTCGAAAAAAACTCATTTGACCCAGGACCAGAGGAGGAAGATAATGATTTTTTGGCGCGAGCCGTGCATTGGGAACAGTGCGCGCTAAGGAGATTACTAAGATGCCAGTGCTCCGGTATCGCAAGTCTCCTGTGGTGGCAAGCGCAGGGCCGCGCCCCAGAGGACCAGGGACACAAAACAACCACGAGTCCGAGACGCTTGACAGCTCGGGGCTCGCGCGGGCAGCTTGCTTGCGTGGGCCTTCGTCTTCCTCGCGACGACGGGCCTCCGCTGCGCTCGCCAACTGCCCGCCTGGCTTCCAGCCCCCCTCCTTGAGAGGGCGGGGAGCCAGCGAGGCACCCTCCGGGGCCTCCGAGCTCGGGCTCAGCGGCGCCCTCCGCGTGCACGACGCACGACGGCTCCACGATTCTAGTATCTCGTGCCATCGATAAGCCCCCCCCCATGCAGACTCACTCCAGTTCATTCTAAGGTTGGAGAAGATAAGCTCGCTAACGTAGTGCAATTAGCTAGTGGTGTCCTTGGCCCCCGTCCTCTCACACTCAGTGTGGGGCATGGGTAGTGGGCTCTGGGCTCTTCTGAGAAGTGGGGCCAATTCAAGATCTCCTCCCTCCACGAGCAGAATAGGCGCCAAGGCGCCGTGCATGTTGCGAAACTGCATCGCGCGGGAGCAAGCACTCGGACCGGGGTAGTCAAAGGTCTCAAACACGCCCCCAGGAAAA